AGATTAGGGTTTAAAGATTAGAGATTAGAGATTAGAAGGGGAGGGGGGTTCTTTAGGGGGTGGGTGCTTTAATTTGGGGATGAGGGGGGAATAATCTGATGTTGTTGATGAAATAAATACTTCTACTCGTACATATAATACAGTAAGTACAACAGATTAGATTATTAGATTAGATAGGTGGTTAGTTAATTGATACATACTCGAACAGATTCAAACAGCGAACAAACAAACACACCGTCTATTCATATATGGATGGCGGATGTAAGTCCTACTTTAATGCAATGCAAGGAAATGGAGTGAATTAGTGGGTGAATGCGTGTGAAGCTAAAAAAAAAAAAAAAAAAAAAAAAAAAAATGATTATCGATGCGGTGAGTAGATTTGAATATGATATGTACTCGTACAGTCGCTGAGTGTACAGTATGGAGGAGGGGTTGTTATAATTTTTGATAGGAAGATTTCATAGATGGGGTGGATGGGATGTTTCGTTTAATTTGGGGTCAACTGGTTGGTTACTGGTCAGTTGCTATAAGTCGGTGAAGTACGCGCTACTTGGATGAATTGTTTGTTTGTTTGTTTGTTTGGGGGAGGGGGGCACGGTGAGGATCGTGAGGATCGTGAGGATCGTGAGGATCGTGATATCGATTGAGGCGGGGAGGAACCGGGAGGTGGATAGAGAACTCAGAGGTGGGTGGCATAGCATTATTGGCATATCACATAGCATTGGGGTTCATGTGCTTTGCTTTGATATACGGTAAGGTGTGTTGTTTGTGGTTGTTACATTGTGTTGTGTTTGCTGATACTTTTTAGATATGGAATCAAATCACAAGCTTAAGTTTGTTGTTGGGTAGCTAGTGGGTGTATACTCCGCAACTCCGCATTGTACACACAGTTCTTTGTGTCGATACTAAAGGAGCATTTGAACTGATGACTTATGTGTATTGCTCAGCTGCTATATACCTATTCAGGAAAACTTTCATCCGAGAACCAACCGAGAACCGACCGAGAACCGGAAAGATAGTTCCGTCTCCAATCATCACGTGTACAAATACTAAATCTCCTCCACCGATTTCGACCGGTAATGCCTCTTCTCGTTAGAGAAAGGTTTCCTACAAGAAAACATATTATATTGACTTTTGCTCTGAGAGGTTTATTTATTTTACACTAATTTCTTTGCATGGCTTGATACAAAATTGAAATTTTTTGACATTTTTGGAAGATTTTTGGATCTTTTGGGCTTAGCTCAAATATCATGATCACAGGATCTTTTAGGTCTAGCTTACCATCTCGAGATTAGTCATCCAAATGAGAGAAGAGGCCTTCCGTATTTAAAGCATCTTGCTGACTAGGCGTACCTGATCAACCTACCTGACACACCAACCTATCTGCGCCTAACCTCCATTGCTGCAATACGCTACTTATCTTACCGACTATGGAGACCATTCAATCATAAACGCCGGAAAGTCATAAGGCTGAACTCACCTCGGCGAGGATATCGATCTATATCCGCCTAAGATATCCGGGCTTTTATCGTTTCTCCACAGGAATAAGTCACGATGCTGTTTGGTGAACTTGCTTTGATGAGTGTGGAAGGGACGGCACGATATGTTCCGTTGACTCTCTCGAAATTAAGGAGGATTTGTCAGGTGAATTAATATTATTCGGCTTCTTCGGATAATTTACAACAGGATGTTATTATCATACAATCCTATTGGGAACGAAGGGATGAATATATCCATCTATGTCGGGACCGATACCCTCCTACAGTATCCGCTCTTTCCGAAAAGGTCGAGATCCTTAATCTCCCCTGATTTTCGAAATATGCCCAAAGAAGCTAGCATCGTGTCACCCATAAGCTTCCAAAAGATAATCCACGCTCCCAGCACCCATCACCACACGACTAGCGGATCACCAGCTGAGATGTGCAGTATCTAAACCAGCCTTATGGATCTGACCGGTGGCTTATGTCATGTCAGACCAGGGATGAAAGACATATTATACCAAGCTCTTGGTATTCAGGTACAAGTTCTGACACCTGGAGCGTCTCCGACATTTCGGTCCTGCCGATTAAGTTGCGGTTCGAATTTTCGATGTGGCTGTGGCTGAGTAGCGCATTGTGAAGCTCAAGTGAGTGATGCGCTGATGATAATAGAGGGAACGTTATTCTATGGCTTACCTTTGATGGATGTTACGTTGAGTTGGGAATTACTTCATTGCGATACTTCAGATGGAGATCGGTTGCTGAGTAGTATGTGCCAAGGAAGTCTTTGGTGATGATTGTATTTGTGATTTATTCGATGGGGATATTATTCAAAGATGCAAACTACAACGGTTTAGTTGTCTAACGATATCCAGTGGGAGTTTCTCTTAGATTACAGATATGACTAGAGAATGGAAATGAGAATTAATGCAAGTGCATTCTCAACCAGAGAGGGGGTGCTTTTTATTGAAGTAGTTATCTCCTCTCCTCAATCTTTCTTCTCGACTTCCTTCATTATATTCAAGAAATTCCACATGTGTTCCGGATATCCCGATCTCGTGATCCATGGAGGAACAAATATGTTGCATGTCTTTCTCCACAGGGCTGAAATAGACTTTGAACCACCACATTTAGTATCAAGCCACCAACGTTAAAGATTTAAGTCTAAACATCCAGCATAGGTCTCTTTTCTGTGGAAGACTAGAAATTTATTATCTGTGTACTCTGGCTCGAAAGAGATATGGAAATAATACAGCTATAGCTAGCATGACTTACTAGTCATCTCGACAGCACTTATTCATTCATCGCCATCGCTATCGACAAAGGCGTGAACAACAACAGTAGCAGGAGTTAAATATTAGAAGAATAGAACTTTGAAAACATAAATTAAACTCTTAATAACACAATGATGTCATAACAAAATCACTTTCTGCTCAGTAGCAGACTAAAAGTTCTATTATATATCCTGATAATTGTTGCTATTGTTCTAATACTATTATTAATATCACTTTATCAATTCTTTCTTATCAATACTAAAACTATTTAATCATTATCACTATTATAAAACCTATATTATATATCCAAAATATCTGTAATTTAACTACTCAAGTATACAAGTATGAGTATAATAATTTTAAATAAAAACAAAAACAAAAGTCTTAAAATAAAATAATCCTAGTTTACTTACTTATAGTAAATGGAGTACTCACTACAAGTATATATATTTTTCGTTTATACACCAGACCAGAGAGGCTCGGAGAACTCGATACTATATATACTACTATACTATTCCAATCTGATTATTGATTCTTGATTATT